TATAGATGAATGTGGCATACACAATAAATGTCTCATAACGAATTTAATAGTCACTCATAAAATAAAAGTTGCAAATAATATGCATCCGTATATCTTGTAAATAATTTCACCTATACCTTAAATATATAAAAAAATTGCTAAAAATTTATTTGATTACTTGAGCAATATTGGTGGAAGGTAGTTTATGTGTATGAATGACCACAACTTTACTTCTTAATATTATTTGATTGTTATCAAGCTTTAAATCTCAGTATAATAAACACACAGATAAACATAATGATAATTTCATATTTTGAAGTTGCAACCAGTTCTCATGACTCTCAAACTAAAAAAATAGAGAAATTCAGGCTGTAAAAACAAAAATATTGAAATGAATACATAGAAAAGGCATTTCTTCAGAAAGATTTAACCTTATTCAAAAACATATGTATAACACATTAATATGTTCTGCTTCTTCTATATTTTTTTAGTAATTTAACTTTTTAAGCCCTTTAAGTTGATACATTCAATTCAGATCTCTACTGAGCCAAAAGTCTAGATAAAAATAAAAAACTGCACTGTGTATGAATGCGGCTTTTAGGTAGAAATGAACACTGTTCCAGTAAAGCGTAGTACTATCGCGATGACAGGATCATTTCGTAACGATTCTTCATTTCAGAACACTTTACATGGAACACATTGTACAAACACAGAGAAAGCCTCTCTCTCGGAACTTTTTGATAGACTCAATAGTTTGAAACATAGTAAGTAGTAGTAAATTGATTATCTATTTTCTTCATACGCAACTGTATTTTTAATCTGGTAAAAATATAAAATATAGTTTATACTGAGATGTGAGTCAGCTTACAACAGAAGCCATGTAATTACAGAGCACAAACATTGGCTTAGAGCCAAACCTTATGTGTTATTGTTTACTAATTGACCTCATATCTACATTCTATCTACATATAAAATTATTTTGTCATTAAATTTACATGTTATAATGTTTTAAATTCCATTGCTGGTTTCTTTTATTTGCTCCTTAGCTGACCGGATTGATGTTTTCCAATTGAATTGAAATTTTTGTTGCATATAAACCCCTCATTGGGACTGTTTCTAACATTTTTACACCAGAAATAGTCATGCAGGTACAACTACTGAAAAAGCCTATATCATATCATATTTACAAACGAACACCATTTCATGTTTATTTATATGATTCAAGACTTTTATTAGACTTGTCTATTATTAGTTGACTTTTTATACTTATTAAATATTTTTTCAACACATTGTTATCATGAGCGACTAGAACTCTGATTTATTGTTATAAGTTAACTGGCCCTAAACATATATATCAATTTGTAGGGCCCTATGTACCAGGCTGGCTGGTACTACCCGCAGGCTAGCTTACAACTACAACAACAATAAACACCTATATATAAAAATCCAAAAAAATATGATAATTTTAAAACCTTATATTGAAATAAAATTTAAGCTATAATTTTCATTATCCAGTCTCCTAAAAATATTAATCAAAAGGAAATTTTTGGTTTCTGGATTTTTATTACACTAAATATTTTAATTTTTTTTAAACCTATTGGTAATCAGGGAATGACTTTTTACAGATCAAGAATATGTATTGGGCTTGCCGTGTGATTGAATCCGTAAAAATATTTATCTAGATTATAACCTCAACAGTTACAAGTCTTTTTGCAAATACATGTTGCGTTTATATTTTTCACAAGCATATTAGACCTTGTTAGCGATGATTAGTCATCAAATACTAACGAAAGGTAGATGAATGAAAATAAAGTAAAATCTAAGTTTCCCACGGTATGTACTGCAGAAAATTATAAAGAATACAACCGCCTTCAAACATTGCTAAGGTTTCACAAGTTAATACCTACCATATACCTGATGACGCACGATAAATGAAAAAAATAATCGGAATCAACTCCACAGACCGTAAAATGGCGATATGAAATATTGGTAATACTTGTAATGTCGAGTAATTTTCGAAGTCAAATGAAAATTGAAAACGCTCTATTAGTTACCGATTCCTGTTTTACAGTAATTAACGATTATTTAAGCTGCATAAATTGAAATAAACTCACCTTTCTAAATAACTTGACAGAAGCACTGCTATCTTAAATTCACTGTTATTGAAACTGCCAACATAATAAAATGACTTTTCCTTTGTCAATTGTTACTTTTGTTGTGTTGTAGTTCTGGTAACATTACAAAGGATAGAGTAGCAACAGAAACTGGGTAAAAGAGCCTATGCAATAGGAGAATCTTTATTATCAAGTGACTATGAGATGGCGTTGGTACTGCTGCAAATTGTTAAAAATTGATTTCTAAATAGTGCAAATATAATTTGGGAGTTTTGTTTAGAGTTGGAGTTAGAACGTTTGCCTACGTTTGCCGCTAGGGGTGCTGTTTCAACTGCGTACATACAAATTTGAGTTAGCTTTTACGCCATCGAGAACGTTAAAAAACTCGCACTGAGCATACAGGTGTTTGTAAATATGTGCTTGAGGTCGATACTCCGCCTGTTCTGACCAGACACTATCTCTAATAAAGATCTCTGAACTAAATTATAATCCTATCGCCCAAGACATTTCCCATAGAAAATGGCGTTTGACAAGAATATAGGGCGCAGCGGACTCGTCGCAGCATCGTTCACTTTTGAGTGCTTAGCCGGAGAAGACCTAGACACCCTGTATACAGTTTTGACGATGTATCGTGGAGAGCGAGATAAGGACTGCCTGCCTGACCTGGAGCGATGTTAAGGATCAAGCGCAATACAGGGTGAAGTGAAGACAGCTTGTGAGGGCCATAAGTACTAGCGGGCTACTCTAGGACTACAACAACAACAACAAAACTTTGTTTAATAAAAATCGTACTTAAACTATCCATTTCATTAAATTTTGAATAGCCAAATAGAAAACTCATCTTAATTTTCATTTATAAAAAGAGGAGCCATTCAAGATTCTTAAGGAAATTAATTTAATGCCTTTATTCGTAAATTTTGATGTAATCAGACCAATTAAAAATGATTTTTTTAATGCACAAGAAGAGGCGTACTTCAATTTATCCGTCTTAGTGTTACTGTTCACACTTATATAACTAATTGCATTTTGTGAAAACCGCGGTTGCTTAATTAAAGGTGTTTTTTCGTGAATATAATTTATTTGAAATGTATATTTGAACACACAGTGAAACGAAATAACCAATGATGGAATACTCTCGCGGGGTACTTCTTTTTCTTTTCAGTATAGAAATAGCTTCTTGCGATGCCATTGCTGCCAGTGTTGAGTTTACAACAATGTTCAGTTGACATAATTTTGTTCATTTTTCTTGTAACAGTATATATTTTATACTGTATACAATACAAGAAAAACAAAATTAAAATAAAATTCTAATTCCGAATTAAAAACCATTGAGATAAAATTTAATAAAAGACATTGATATGAGACCCACGTAAAATCTTGGGAATATCGGATAATTATTAATTATTTATATCTAAACCTCCTACGAGGTCCCCGCGCATAAGGGGCGCGCGGGGTATGTGAGACTCAACGATCTGCATGGTGTTGTAGGAGGTTCGGCCCCCGGCCCGAAAAAAAAAAATGAAAAAAAGGTGATGGTTTGCTTATTATTTGGAAGTCGTCGTGGCCTAAAGGATAAGATGTCCGTTGCATTCGTATTGAAGCGATGCACCGGTGTTCGAATCCCGCAGGCGGGTACCAATTTTTCTGATGAAATACGTACTCAACAAATGTTCACGATTGACTTCCACGGTGAAGGAATAACATCGTGTAATAAAAATCAAACCCGCAAAATTATAATTTGCGTAATCACTGNTTTTACTTTGCAAATTTGTAAATACAGGCTCTGTAGCAATGTACGGACATATAATAATATGAAGAAACAATAATAGCATCTACAAATATATATGTACTACGTGGTACTACATTTACTAAAATTAATACAACATTTATTAATTAAATTAATAAAATTGTGGTTTTAAAGTTTTAGGGGTGTATAAAAAATGGGGGGCGCTGAAACATAATTGATTTTCAAAGGGGGCGGTAAAAGAAATAAGTTTGATAATCACTGTTCTAGATAATCAATCTAAGCAATAAAAAAAAATAGATATAAAATAATTAATAATTGGGAATTTAATTGTTTTTATAATCGAACAATCATCAGTAGTCGTCGAACAAACGATAATTCATCAAAATTAATTAATCTGAGCGATAAAAATAAAGATATCTAGTAAGGGGGGGGCCCACTTAGCGGTGATCATTGGTTTAATTAATTATAAATAAATAAAAGACGAACAAACAATTTTTATATTTGAACATTAACGAACAAACGACGAACAAATAATCAAATATAAAAAAAAATTAAAATCAAAAAAAGGGAGGCCAAATTCACTGGGCCGAGATCTTCGCCATTCATGTTGAAAAATGGAACTACTCTGTGTTAATAGTGACATCAATGACTAATTTTGTTAATTACCTACTACCCACATATTCTGTTGCAAATGCCTCGGTAAATTATGTAATGACTTTTTGGCGGGAACGCGAGGAGTGAAGATAAGTGATTTGTTTTATTTTGTCTATTTAGTATTTCTTCAGATTTAAATGTGTAATAACCGTGATTTATTAACTGTTTAATACCTGTGAACGTGCACAAATGTGGGAAAATGAAACAAAGCTGCTGGACGTAACTTCTCGGGAAAATGAAACAAAGCTGTGGACGTACCTTCTCGGGATCCTCCACAAAGTCCACTGAAAAAATCTCAGTAATTGACCACTATTTTACTGAGATTATGTTTTATCCCATTTGATTAATGTCTCAAATTAATCATCATAATATCATTTTTCATAGAGTTAAGAATATAAATTAAAATAAGACATGACTTAAAGGTCTTAGTTATCAGGTCATAAAATCCCTTAAAAAATACTCTGTAGTACTCTGTGCCCTGTGCCACAGTCTATAGTAGTCTATACTCGAAGGTATTGGGCGATTTGTGATTAAAATCATACGGTATTTATTAAAAAAATACAGCTTTTTGAAGTTTAAATACTTGATTTATAAATATTTGATTGAGAATTTGAGATCAACTGAGTGCCATAAGAAGTTTGTGTGAACTATATTTCCTTTTAATACTAAATATATGATTTCCTGCATGAGTATGGAAATGTTTTACTTCGTAATCATTTGGGCTACGGAAAAATGAGTCTCGGTCTCGGGATTTATTTTTTAACCGTTTTATGGTTTATAACGTTGATGCTCTGTTGGGTTACAATCCGTACTGGCCATTATATCGGAAAAATATCATTAATAATATCTTCTACAATATCATTAGTATTATTGCTTTTGCCAAGTAGCGGAGAACAGTATGTTAGTGCCAATTTTTACGACAGGCTATTTGTGACTCGTTACGCGATCCTAACATTCTTGCTTGCCAGTATTGTCCTCGGATCTGGGTACGCTTTTGTTTACGTTTGCCTAACGCCAATCGAAGTTAAAAAAGTTACTCGTAGAGGTCGATATTAATTTGCTTTGGTAAGTTGATTTCTGTTGCACTAAAATAGAAATAGTTTGGCACTTATCAAGTGTAATGCACAACTAATAAAAGGCATACTTTAGCATTGTAAACATTAATAATTTTCTGGAAACAATATAATTTTACTTTTTTTAAAGAACATTTCGTATGTCATTATTAAAGTACATTATCTTATCTTCGATTTTGCGAGTCTTAGGCATAGTATAAATTACTTATACCGTTAAATCTTACATGTAAATATGCACAGAATATATTATCTTATCAAAACTCTTCAATGTCTTCAATTGCATGATGGGTGTATTTGCTTAAAAGTCAACTGCTTAAGTATTATTTAATCTTGTTGTTTTAACTGTACAAATATGCACGTGTTAACTATGTAAGATAATTTTTATAGTAAAATAACTATCTGTTAGTTTTGAAACGAGCTGTGGATCACATAAAACCTTTATTTACCTTTCAGACAATGTCTAATGCAATATGTAAAAGTTTGAGATCGCCAGTAAGGAATCTGGCATCTTTGAAGAAAGCCATCTCAACCTCACTAGTACATAATGAGACTATATTAGTTAGGAATAATGAAGAGTTTATTAATAAGGTAATGTGATTAAATAATTAAATATTATTGTCTATATGTCTTTTTATTGTTATAAAAAAGCTAGCAAACAAACAATTGGTCTACCTGACAAATAAGTAGTGGAAGACATTCCAGCATTTTGAGGAGTGCAATACTTATTGGAATAAAGTTTGCCTTGTTTTGAAGTGGGTGATGGCATTTACATGGTGATGTCCATAGGCACCAAATAAGACTTAACGATAGGTACAGAACAAGGGAGACCGTGGCAGATCATTTCTTCATAAAAGTGACTGGATCGGCTCATCCTTTAACATGTCTTGATGGATCTACTGCCTGTCTGTCGGTTTGAATGGATGAATGACCCATTCTAGGAAATCAGCTGTTGGACACTGCTATCTCTAAAACTAACAACAGATAAAGTACAGATGCTTTTGTGTTAGCGTATTGCTCGATCTGTGTTGGACCCACAATGCCCCGTGCTTTATTCAGTTATTACCTTGATTTCACCTCAAACATCGTACCTCTCTATAAAAATAAATGAAAAATGTGGCTTAATGTTTCCAAAGCACTATGACATGAAAATGAACACAATACATAAGCGTCTTGATATTGGGTCTCTCACCATCACCATCTCATCATACCATTTTTTACTGTTGGTAGGACGTGTTCTGAGTCCGCACGGTTACTGCCCTGCCTATTTCTGCCGTGAAGCAGTAATGCGTTTCGGTTTGAAGGGTGGGGCAGCCGTTGTAAATATACTGAGACCTTAGAACTCATATCTCAAGGCGGGTGGCGCATTTTTGTTGTAGATGTCTATGGGCTCCAGTAACCACTTAACACCAGGTGGGCTGTGAGCTCGTCCAATCACCTAAACAAAAAAAAAGATTCTGATATGGCAGTAGATGCACTCATAAAGCCCTTGATTAGTTACTTATCTCAAGGTGTTTAGGTAGTTTTATTTAGTATATATAGGTAAATTACAAGTCAATAGGATTAAGGCTGTGAGAAAATTCTATATACACATTAAGGCTTTGCATCTATCTTGTAAGAACTGCATGTTTCTAATTGTGTACAAAAATCTTCTCAGGTCATGAACAATGATAAACCTGTGATAGTGAATTTCCATGCGGAGTGGTGTGAGCCCTGTAAAATACTGACACCACAGCTGAAGCAACTAATCGAACCTTTGACAGACCTAGATCTAGCTGTTGTGGATGTCGAAGACAATGCCGATTTAGTTCACACTTTTGAGGTATGCCGTTACATGAATAGAAAATTATAAGGATTGTTTTAAATTGTTCTTATTTAACAAGGAGATTTGAAACATATATTTACACACACAGGCACAAATACACGTGCACACAAACACACACGCATAGTGACCTACTTAAATGATAACACTAAATGATCTTTCGATCTAGCCCACGACATCTGTTCACAAAAACCTAAAATTTAGTCTAGGAAGGAGGGAGGCTATGACGCCGAGATGTGTTGTACAACTATGGTAATATACTGTCAAACAGCCCTAACGCCGCCACAGAGCGTTGCGTACTTATAGCGCTGGGGCTCTGTTTGACGGTATGTTACCATAGTAGTATAGTAACCGGCAAACTTCTTGAGCAAATGACCTTGACTGCGCAGAACCGAATTTTAGATCACTTTGGTGGTGAGGGTGAGGCGCGACGGCAGGGGAAATCGTAACGAGCGCGTTATTGGTAGATCAGTCGAACCTTGCGCCCCGCACCGCGCCCTCATTCCGCTTGCTCCCAAAAGTACGCTTGCGTACAGTGGAAAGTCTATCGTTATTAATCGTTACGTTATTTGTTATAATTGCTTGTGGACTTTGTTGCCATTGCTATTTGTTGAGTGTTTGTTGATTTTTTATAAAACATACACTATGCCGCGACAAACTGGTGTAGTATTCAAAAGAAAGGGTAGAAAATTTGTGTACGACGTATATTGTTTCATTGTAAAACAGGGGAAGAATGATATGGAAAAATTAAAACAGACTGCAGAAGCAACAAAAACATCGTGAGTACTGTTAGGTGCATTATTAACGAAGCTAAAGGCTCTGGCTTGCTCGCCGTATTTCGGACTCCGGGTAAGAAAAGATCAGGGAAGAAGAAAGTTACCGGAATGGATAGTTTCGTTCAATCTGTAATAAAAAGATGTAATCATAATAACTACATAACAAGCAGCGAAACCCCGTACCGTAGAAAGACTTCGAAAAATTTAAAGAATATATAAATTTTAATGGCTCGGAATGAAGCTTACGACGAATTATGAAAGAGCTAGGCTTCAGATGGAAAAAAAGAACAGAAAATAATCGGAAGCTGGTAATTGAAAAAAGTAACATTCGATTACTACGAATCGAATATCTTCAAAAAATAATTAATTATAGACAAAAAAGAAAACCGAATCGACCGAGTTGTAAACTACGCCGATGAGCCCTATGTCGACTCATCACGATGATAGCGACTCGGGTGATGAAAACAGTGATGATGATGATGGTCAAGATTATGATAACGAAAAAAAAATTACAAATACCAGCTTCGCTTCAACTGAACCAAGACCTGGCAACAGCTCTAGTTTTTACTTAATAGAAGGAATATCTATTTTATCCCAAGATTAAATTATTACAATTATTAACCTATATGTTTTGTTGATGTTCTAATAAATATATAAATAAATACATATGTTGATTTTAATAATTTAATAGCATTATGACGCAGAGTAAGTAATGTTTTTGCACGTGAGTGTACCATGCGCAAACTTACCCCCACTACGTCAACAAATGCTCAAGAAGTTTGCCGGCTATTATACAATACATCTCGGCGTCATAGCGCGCCCTCAGTTTAGCGCTCTGACGCGGCTAATTACGCGTTCTGTTTGACGAAGCCTTTAGGGTTGAACTTTTTTGCTTGTGGTGTCGTAGGATGTGTGGAGTATTCCAATTGTCTCGCGCACCACACCTACCGCGTAGGCGGAAGTCAGGTATTCTCATCCTGAACCTTTTGACCTGGTTGACCATTGATTTCAGGAATACCATACAATGTAAATAATAATATAAAACCTATTACAGGTAAAGGCGGTTCCCGCAGTTATAGCAATAAAGAACGGATTAATAGTGGACAAGTTCATAGGCTTAGTGGAAACCGATATGATCACCTGTCTTATTAACAGGATGTCGGGTAAAAAGAAGGAGGGCACATAGACTTTACACAGAAGTGTTTTAATCCAATAATAATCACACAGTAATGTTTAAAAGAATGGTTCCTTCCGCAAACAAAATGTTTTATTGTGTTACTTTTTGTACATTAATGATTAGTTAATATTTTACTTTCATTGTTTTAACTAGTAATCGTAGTGAATCGTACGGATTAATCTTTGGATATAAAATTATTCTAATACAGCTAGCGGCAATGTTACAAAAAATATGTAAGATAAGTTACACACATTCTCCGGATACTTCATGTTACAGCTCAGTTTAGACTGTCTTTAATGCCCCTTGACACTTAAGGTAGTAGATCGCTGTCGTGGAACTAATTAAGTTGTTGTTTCTGTAGTGCTAGAAAGAGATAGTAGATCTGCAACTTATAAAATAGTTCCTACATTACATTATGCACGGAATGATTCTTTGGTGTGTTTCTAGAGTAACACTAGATACGTGCAACTTATTATCTCTAGACGATTCTTAGCCTATTATTCAGCCCCTCCCCTTACTCTTGACGTCGTCGTGGCCTAAAGGATAAGAGGCCCGGTGCATTCGTGTTGAGCGATGCACCGGTGTTCGAATCCCAGGTGGGTGCCAATTTTTGTAATGAAATACGTGCTCAACAAATGTTCACGGTTGACTTCCACGGTGAAGTATTGCAAGATTCATGCGGGGCTTGGAGATGAGCAATAGAGGACGGGTGAATGTTACCAAAGATTTCGAGGGTCGGGATGTCGGGTGATTGTTTGCCCAGACACAGCAATTCAAGATATCGCCTCGAGCTGTAGTAGAGAGTTTTACTAAAAGAAAGTTGTTTTTAGGACATTCAAAAATCAGAAAGATTCTAAACAAAATATTTAAATGTATGGGTTCCATATAAATTTAAAATTCAAAACCTACAATTTTCATAAACTAAGCGAGTGAACAAAATAATTAATTAGAAAAGCCTAAAATGGTAATATTAATAAACTTTAAAATTAATGATTAATTCCGTAACTCGCACTTTGGTTTTTTTTATCATACCACGAGAATGTCTGGATTTTTTTTTCATTTTTTAACATAAAATTCTTTTTTAGAAAATAAAACTAAGTAAACATATTGTGTTTATTCTGCTCATACAAAGTATGTTTAATATACCACTAAACAAAACTGCTAAAATAAACCTTGGCTAGTCCTGAAATGTCTGACTATTTTAATAAAGAAATATATCGATTTAAGTTATAGATAAATTTTAATTACAAATAAATATATGAAGAATATATCTAGAAATGTTATAAAGATGTTTTTGTTTGCACACAATATGTATCGATTTAGATGTGATTTTTTGTTTGATTGACAGTTTCAAGTGTCAATTTGACACAAACTTCTATGTACAGATCGGTGGACAACCACAGTGTACAGTAGTAAACGGTAGTTAAGGTAGTAAATAGTGGTAGTTTTCCAATTACAGAGCATAACGCGACTCAGTGACGCACAATGCCGAATTATGCTGAAGCTTAATTGGAACGTGAATTAGTTTTCAAATGCATCAGCAGAGTGCGCTAAGTTAGCACAGTTTTAGTTAACATTGATTATTTCTAAGAAACTACGACGAAACGAAAGCCTTTTTTTTTCAACAATTTTTTTCAACATTAAATAATATTACTAACGATAATATAAACAAAATTTCGATCAATGCAACTTAAAGAAAAACACATGTCAATTTTCTGTCACTGAGTCGGTATCGATTGCGAGTATCACGCGAGAGCAGTACTTTTGAGAGTGCTCGATTGTGCTTCGAGTTGCTGTAGTTGGAACATTCAACGTTGAGCATTATGCCGCATAATGCGCTCTTGTGCTGTAATTGGAAAACTACCAGTGTAAACATACAACTAGTGCAAGGTCTAAATGTAGTAGGTACGAGAGATTAAAAAAAATAAAATAATCGATTGTGTATACGAATTACTAATTGGACTTTGGAATCTTGTTTTAGCCATGAATTAATAAATGTATCATTAACTTTTGTTGATGATACATTACGTCAGCATTCGTAAAAACGAATGCTGACGTAATGTCAAGGGTTTGCTGACGTCAGCCCAAGTAACTCACCATGATAAATGATAATAGAAGAATTTACAATGTCTAGACCAGGGGTCGCCAAACAACGGACCGCGGTCCCCATTACACACTTGGTAATAAATATCCAAACTACAAAAATTTGCTTTGAAACTTCTTACTTTATTTGGTTGAACATAAATTTGTGAAGCAGCAATTTCGAAGATGAACTTCATAAAGAATAAATTTCGATCTCGACTAACGGATGAAATGAAATCTTGCTAGAAATTTTACTCGAAACCTCAGATATAATAGACCTCAACAAAAAATGACATTTATCTTTTATTATTGATATGAAAAAAATATCTATGTTATATTCGTAATTACATTTGTTTAATAAGTATTTTTTCTATAAAATGTTGTGCGATTTCTCAAAACGGACCTCAAGCGGAATTAATTAGTGATCCCTGGTCTAGACAGTAAACACAATAAATTTAAATGTTTACTACTAATACGATTTTTAAATACACGTTTTTTAAGTTTACGATTTACAAGTATCCAAGTCAATGGATGTATCGCATTGTTAGTGAACCTTCAGACATCTTTATTCTGTTAAATATATTTGAATTTTGAATCTATACTTATTTGTAGATAAATTATGGTGTTATTAATGTCCGTTAATAAAAACAAACTTCAAACGAGAATTAATCAATTCTAGATACTTCGGTGTCTATAATTTTAAGGGAATTTAAAAGAGTTTGTATTTTAATGGAAGGCGATTTAAAATATCTTTAGATAAGTAGTGGCTCTGTTGAAATAGTCTTCCCGAATGCATACGGGTAAATAAATATTTCGAATTCTTTATCTAATCAAACACACATATCTTGCTGCCTTCGATTAAGTCTACGAAGCGACACTGCTGGATGTTTCTTGACTTTAATGTTCCTAATTAGCTAGATATATAAAAATATAGCGATCTTATAACTTTGCTTGATTACCTTCAAGTGCTCATTTTTATATTAGTGAAGTTTTGTTGATATATTATGTTTTTCTTTTTAAATGTTAATAGAATTGCCTTTATAATTTTCATTGAAAGAAAAATCCAAGGTTTCAGGAGCTCATAGCAATTCATGAAACAATTTGTCCTGTTTCGTTACAAATTGTTAATGCAAAGGCAATACGAGAAGTGAGTACCGTTCAGCACATGATTTAATTATAAACCACAAAAGGTTTTTTTTTATTGCTTAGATGGATGGACGAGCTCACAGCCCACCTGGTGTTAAGTGGTTACTGGAGCCCATCTACAACGTAAATGCGCCACCCACCGAAGGAACGATAAGAATAGATATCAAAACCATAAGTAAGATTTTAGTCACCAAATAGAGAGCGCATCGAATTACCGCATCAAAGTGATGAGTGAGATTCGCCTCTCGATTGCGTAATACCACTCGGCGAGTAAATTCTATGGATAGTGTTGTGTGTAAAACTTTTGATAGTATCCACGAATAATAATAGTTGTTAGTAGCAATAGTATTTTTATTTTATATGATTAGGTTAATGTGGGCGTCACACGGTCTGCAGTTTGTGTGTAGTTAGGGTCTAATTCTATCCGGGTGCTAATCGTACACCTCTTAGTATCTATTATCACTAATTAACTAATTTAAACTTAATTGGCAACTCCAAAATTGGATTAGCGTTAAGTCGTAAATAGTAAATTATAGTTTAATAGTTTTGTGACCTAATAGTTTATATCAGTTATCAGCAGTTAGGATGTCTCCAAATGGAATTTTAATAAAACCGTAATGAGGAAATCTAATGGTTTCTTGTTGATTTCGAATGTTTCAAGATAATTAATCGGCATGGCTTCGGCAACCTGATTTATGATTCATTTGAATATAGGTCGATAGTGTATGGGTCCAAATCGTATGGGCTTACGTTTCACATTGAACGGAAAGCTAGTTGAGAGATACGTGTTTGGGGTCGTTGTTAGTATTAAAGCTCAGACTTCTTCATTCGACGACTGAGCTTTGGAGCTTTTGTCAGGTTTGTGGTACGAGCTTATTATATTAGTAGATCGGGTCCACTGTTTGTTGTGAAAACCGCTCTCGCCGTCCAATCATGGTTGGCTAACTGCTTGTATAGTAAATAAAAGAATAGTAATATACATTGATCATCCCTCACCTTACAAAGATTTTGTTTAAAAAATGTTATGTTAATTTAAAAACTTTATAGATAGTTAATTAATGGGGGACAGGGCACATTGTCTACGTTTGATTCTAATAATTTGTAAATTCTAATTCATTTTCTATGTTTAATTTTGTTGTACAGTTCAGATCGGAACCGTAACTAGAATCTGGACGATAGTACAGTACATTGCGGCCTAAGTTTCCCACTAGTTTAAATTTCTTTACCAATAATTATGTGTGTATTGTGTGATGTTCGACCAAAAATAATATCAATACGAGGGTACTTGACACTCAAATGACTGACGGAGCTTATGTTTTTTTGTTTTGTTTCCTAACTATACCTTTAATCCAATACTGAAGTGTCTCTACGCGGCGTTTACTACGGCCAATCTTTTAAATAGGCAACCCGAAATGTCCCCTTAATGCTTATTCTGTGCCTATCGTGCGGCCGCTTAGAGCAGGGCCGGATTTAGAGGTCTGGAGGCCTTGGGACAACAGAGGAGCGGAGGCCCCTTGCCCCAAATTATTCTCCAAATAAAATGAACAATTTTTTTCAGTCGACTCTCGAGAGTCTAATAAATAATTTATTGTGAAACCATGTAGATTCGATTAATATTTAACAAACATACATAAATGTAATCGGAGACAAGAATTATTTGAAATTAAATTTCAGAGGAATATAAATGCTTTCTAGTGTGTACTTGTTGGAATTTGAAAGATTTTTTCCAGTCTCTATTGTGGGGGTCCTTCGTTTGTGGAGACCCTGGGCCTTCGCCCCGGTTGCCCTCTCCTAAATCTGGCCCTGGCTTAGTGAATGTCCCCGGGCCGTATCGACGATGTAACTGACATGGCGTTAAATTTACTATAAAAAAATCTTGCTTAAAAACGTGTTAGTCTAATAAGGAATAATTATTACAATAAAAATATATCAATTTAGAAAAAAATGTTACAATTTCATGCTGAAGGATCGCATTCTCTTGCCCGTCGGAATATTATTTACTAAGGTATTAATTGTTATATTTTCCTAGTATATTTGTTGAACAGTATCAGATAAATCTTTAGTGCTGCTTCTTGAAACTGTTCAGTTCGTGATTAAACTTAATAATCACTACGTTGTAATAAACAAATAATTAAGAAAAAAAGAAAACGGAATGCAATTAAATACTTTATTAAGCCACATGGAAATTGGTTTATTATGTAACGAAATAAGCTATTTTTGAATTTGTATATTTTTGTTTTATTGAATACAATATATTTTTCTTGAAAATTGTTGTTTTTTTATTTTAAATACCTATATGACGTAACTACGTTTAACTCATTTTTTATAAAAAAAAAATCTGAACTTAAAAGTATGTACAAGGGTGAAATATGACGAGCCCTCTTATCTTGGCCACTGCTTGCTGCATAATATCAAAGTTAGGCGACGGGGTAAAGCAAAGCCGTCGTCGTCCAAAACATGTTTTGTCGGATCCCCCGGATCCACTCTCGATACTTTTGGGCTCTTCAAGCACCGGTCACCGTCCTCCTCGAACTTGTCGACTCTGACGAGGACCCTTTTTTTTTCTCCTACCAATGCTGATGGCCTTGAGAGGCTATTTCAGCTTAACCTTGACGTGTAGGTGAGCTCACGGGGCTCAAACCCGACGACGTTGCTAACACGAACCCTAGTAAGAGCCGTGCTTCGCAGAATCTACCACCGGATCGGAAACGCGACCCACTGAGAAGATCCGGCTAGAAACTCAGTGGCCTGTGTCTGTGGGTTAATTTACTCGTCGAGCCTTTCGTCGCAAGCGACGGGTTGGGCGAGAACGATGACCGGGTGAAGCCATAGTCATTGGTCACCAACTCTGTTACGAACATTATATCAAGGGGTGAAAGGCTAAACGTCCGTTTTATTTGGTATCAGCATCAACGACTCGATGTTCTTAATCGAACTTGAATTTGTTTACACCTTTCAAATAGCTGAATAATATGTTTTTCTAAATTTTAAACTTGAAATGGCGCTCTTGAAAATTTCAAAAATGTCGCTTATACCAAATTAATATCCATTCACCCTTCAATATACTCAAAAGAATATTTATTTATTTAGTCTACTTACAAATTAACAGTATAAAAGCTTAAGTAATTCCTAACAACAACAATAAATCGCTGCAAACCATCATGGACTATATCCACTTCCGGAGCATAGGCTAGCAAGCCATTGAGTAGCGAGACAGCACGATGCGTCGGAGAGTTAGCGGTGTGCTGCGTACGCGCGTGCGTCGTACGAAGAAGCTGCCTAATTGCTTGCTTATAATATAAACTAATATAACATAACCCTAAATTGGTGACATGAGGTGCACTTCTTAAATAGGTACTAAATAAATATGTCGAAATGTTATTGTGACTCAGGTAAGCTTAGTAATAAGCTTAATACTGCGGACGGTTTTGTAAGTGTTAATTTCCTTCATAAACTTGAATAAGAAGCGACAGATACGTCCATGCCGTGCTCATAATCTGTAAAAAAAATTTATTCGTTCATAATTTGGTAAAATATTCATTGCTGATGTTCAATTAATATAGTGGTAATTAATTCATTTCATTAGCTATGGCTATCAGTCAGCAATTAAAGCCGTTAGCAATGGATGCCGATTGGCAGCCAACGATAAGATTCATAAACTGGATCCATTTTATACAAGAAAATAATATTGTTTTACTACGTCAAATACCTTTGAAAATGATCGTAGAGTCATATTTGAAAATCCCAACGCAGATAAATAGCACGGATTTTGTGATCTAAAACAAAAACTTAAGTGCATTAATACATCTAACAGTGATGAATATTTAAAAGTCGTGTGGTTTCGTTGTAATGAAATGATATCACCAGTTAACTACAATTTTATATTTAAAAACTGTACCCGTCCGCTTCGCTGGGCGTTTAACATTAACATTATTATTTCTCACCCCCACAACGATTCTCACCATTAACGCCCCCGCAACTGGTGTAGGGAGTCCAACACTCATATAAATATTCGTCTATCCATTAAGTACATGTATTTTCTACATGGATACCAAGTTTCAAGTCAATCGGATGCATGGTTCAGTAGTTATAACGGAACATCCGTAAAAACCACTGTAGATTTATATGAGTATAGATATAGATAAAAGAGCGATCTTATATAGATTTTAATAGCGGAGCACCCAGCTGATGTCTGTCTCGTACTCTTTTTTTTATTCCTTAGATGGGTGGACGAGCTCACAGCCCACCTGGTGTTAAGTGGTCACTGAAGCCCATAGACATCTACGACGTAAATGCGCCACCCACCTTGAGATATAAGTTCTACGGTCTCAGTATAGTTACAACGGCTGCCCCACCCTTCAAACCGAAACGCATTACTGCTTACTGGACTGAACGAGGAATTCTTTTTCGCGTCCAACTCGAACGGTGAAAGCCCTGGGAGTGGATCCGATAGGACGTGTATATGGCGATCGTCTGGATCGACTAATTAGTGTAAGCATTCGATAAATAGAAAAATAACACAAACCGAGTAATGATAAACAACATTAGTTTTCTAAGTTTGAGGTCGCCTTCGTACCAGAGGCTGTTGTAAGCGGCGTCAGAAATGTTAGAGCTCTGTAAATTAAAGTATTGTTAATTGTTGGGTCGACACCGTGTGAGTGGAATGACTCATCATTTCCCAAGGATGTGAGTGATAGGTTCTTGAGTTTGGGGGTAACAAAGGGTAAATCTCCTACCAAGCAGATTACATGAGATGAGGAAACAGATGCTCTGCCTGATCATTGGTCACCATTATGGGCTTAGAATATACCTACCGAGCCGCTATCTACCGTCATGGGCCATTTGTCAATCTTTATTTGAAAGAAATGTCTCAAAACACCGGGGATATTTCAACACACCTTGGACTATGCAGAAAGATATCTGGAAATAATGAGCCACCAAAATCAACCAGGCTGAGCTAGGAAGCTACATGTTCCATGGTGTCTTTTCTCATCTTAGACTTAGGAGTTTGTTGTTTGTTATTCGTATTCTCGGGATATTGTGCTCCGAACACATAAAAGTCAAACACACCAATTCAACAATATATAATAATTATGTGTACAATGTTATAGTTTAAAGTAAAAAAATTAAATAAAACTAGACACTACAAGAGACCAATTTAAACTAAAATTACGTTTTTACAATGAACTTAAATCGACGCGCGCGAATCTCGTAGCATGACGTCACGGGACACCTGCGCGTTCGGGAACTCCGATCGCATCCGATGACGCCCGAGTGCGACCGAGTGTTACACGCTACAAGTTGGCTTTTAGCGATAGCTGGATTATTATTAATTTTTAAATATCCTGATTCGCTTTTGAGATGTGGTGCTGGCGACGTATGCTACGAATACCATGGATGGCCCGCCTCACCAACATATCTATTCTCAGGCAGTTAAAAATAGAAAAGATTCATCGTCTATCCACAATCTGCCTATAAAGAATATTGCGGTATTTTGGTCATGTTGCACGTAGGGATACCAGCAATTTGGAACGCCTTGTGGTGACCGGTAAAATAGAGGGAAAAAGGCCTAGGGGTAGAGGTCCCAAACGATGGTCGGACCAAATAGCGGAGGAACTGGGAATACCTATCAGCGACGCACTCCACCGGGCTGCAGGGCGGGATCGATGGAGACANGCCTTGTGGTGACCGGTAAAATAGAGGGAAAAAGGCCTAGGGGTAGAGGTCCCAAACGATGGTCGGACCAAATAGCGGAGGAACTGGGAATACCTATCAGCGACGCACTCCACCGGGCTGCAGGGCGGGATCGATGGAGACAGTTGGTTGACGAAATCGGACGGAGTCACGATCCTCAGCAGTGAGGAACCGATCGAAGAGAGAGAGAGAGAGAGAGATTCGCGTTAAATACATTTTCAAGACAGCTTTGAATATACAAAAGTTCCGAACAATAGCATTTCAACTGTGGACAATGCCATAGAAAAACTGCGCTTGTTTGGACAGATGTTAGCAAATTCTCTGAAGCTGAGCCAGAATGAGCCCTAAAGATGTAACCAGTACAAATATACTTGCCGTGTCACACAATAGTTGTCCTCCAAGTGCTATCAGAAACACAATTAAAATCAAATTCAAAGCTGTTAGGAAATTAGATATTGTTTCTATTAGACCTCCATACACCTGGAAGATAAATTAAATGTTAGTTTACGTGGTAAACAGCGTTTGTTTCATTGTTTCCTGCAAAGGGAAGATCTATCAAACATGTGTATTTTGTCGGACACCATCATGACCTTTTCTTGTTGAGTGAGTATCATGACACGCGGACTAAAGCCTCGCAAATTTACTTTAAGTGCTATTTTTATTTGCGTGCTGGTTACCGGTACTCGTACTGAAGGAGGATAATGTATTTATTTATTTATTTAAGGATTACCAACTTGGTTTACAGTAAGACATAAAACGACATTGACATGTATAGAGCAATTGATAACTGCAACTCTAATTAGGGGCAATCACAGCATGCATTAATATATCAACACAGATTTAACAATACTAATATTAATAAAAATAATAAAAAAAAACAAAAGAAAGACAACATAATATTTTTGGGACCGTATAAAATGCAACCTTAAAATAATAGTTGCTGTTTAAAAGTTTTAAATATTAAAAAAAAAACTGCCGGATTGTAATAAGGATTTGGATATTGCTGTGATATCCAGTTATAGAATAAAAACATAAGACGCATTGATTTTAAGTTAAAAGCGCGTCAGAAAAAAATGTTCAATCATCGATAAAGACCGGACTGAATTAGTACAACATAAAAAGGAGTGATGAGTTCAGAGTTTGGATTACCTCCTCTTTTTGAGATTCGCAGCTAAGTAACACCATAAATAGTAAAAAATCTCTTGTTTTTATTGTTTAGATGGGTGGACGAGCCCACCTGGTGTTAAGTGGTTACTGGAGCCCATAGACATCTACAACGTAAATGCGCCACCCACCTTGAGATATAAGTTCTAAGGTTTCAAGTATAGTTACAACGGCTGCCCCGCCCTTCAAACCGAAACGCATTACTGCTTCACGGCAGAAATAGGCGGGGTGGTGGTACTATAGAAGTAAACTTCTACTAAAACATTGAACAATTAATTTGACCTTTAATAGATCCTAAAATATCACTGAAACCTTTGCTGATATTTTCATAGATGTCTCGGACTTTTCTGTTGACATAAGATCGAAGTCTCAGTACCTACTAGGGTTGCCAGATTTTTTTTCAGCCTATAAGGGGCAAATACTTAAATAGGCAAAAAAAATACGGATTTTTTTTTATTTACCCGGACCAAATAAAAAAGAAAATTATATAGTGACATTCTTTAATTTTTTTTGATATTTCTCTGAAGAGCAAGTCAATTTTAACATATTTTTTTCGGTTTTAACATATTATAAAAATCAATACAATTATAATCGTAGGCTTCGAATACGGGACAGAGTCACTCCCGCCGGGACATTTTAAACTAAGCCTAAAATACGGGACGTCCCGGGAAATACGAGACGTCTGGCAACCCTCCTACCTACTGTAAAAAAAATGATTAATAAAAAAATGCAAGCCATTAACAATGTCAGTCACGTTAGATTTTTCAATTGACATTTTACATTACACCTACCACATTAGTGGTGGTAGGACCTCTTATGAGTCCGCACGGGTAGGTACCACCACCCCGCCTATTTCTGCCGTGAAGCAGTAATGCGTTTCAGTTTGAAGGGCGGGGCAGCCGTTGTAACTAGACTGAGACCTTAGAACTGATATTTCAAGGTGGGTGGCGCATTTACGTCGTAGTTGTCTACGGGCTCCAGTAACCACTTAACACCAGGTGGGCTGTGAGCTCGTCCACTCATCTAGCAATAAAAAAAAATATAAAAAACATACCACAGTCAAGAAACCGAAGAAACATATCACGACTGCCGAGAGCGAAACGTGAACCAATATCACTAACCCGAAAACTTCACTCAGTTTATCGGCAATTCTGAAAACAGCCATAAATAAAATCTCGGCTTTGACGGACGAGCACATATTTCTTTCGGAACTTGCACCCATACGAAATCATCTTGAAAATGCCGCTAACACAATTCAGACTACCGGTAATGTTGAAGTCAGACGTGGGTCAGCTCATGCCAAAGTGAAAACATCTATCCATATGTTATAAGTTGAATAGGTTGGAACATGGGCCTCCCTCAAACCTCGCCAGAACGACTGGTCCTGTGCTGCATCAAGGGATTTCTGCGACCTTCAGCAGAATTGGTTTGATGGTTGGACGAGCTCACAGTCTACCTGGTGTTAAGTGGTTACTGGAGCCCATAGACATCTACAACTTAAATGCGCCACCCACCTTGAGATATAAGTTCTAAGGTCTCAGTATAGTTACAACGGCTGCGCCACCCTTCAAACCGAAACACATTACTGCTTCACGGCAGAAATAGACAGCGTGGTGGTATCTACCCATGGGGACTCACAAGAGGTCCTACCACCAGAATTATATTTTATGTAGTTGGGCGACTACCCACGCTATGTCCTCTGAGACGTAATTGCTCAGACGGGTGAATGACGTCACGGTCACTTTAACTGGTATTGGTATTTTTTGGTCATAAGATAGATCTCTATAGTGTATAAATAGGATGGAATCTTTTTTGAGAAATCTAATTTGCAGACACTCGGCCGAAAGATTATGAAAGATATCTAAGTGGCGCTTTCCCGGGCGGCCTCAAAATACGGCCTATCACCACTTAAGTCGTACGTAGTAGGAATATCTCGCTACCCATGTCGCATGGATCGTGATGCGGGTAATGTCCTGAACCATAATTTCCTTATTTATTTTTAATTTGACTGATTCTTACGTAGGTACGGTACGGTCTTGCCATTTGATAAATAATCTGTTGGTTGAGCCTAATTCCTAGTTTTTCTTAATATTGCTCCACTGTGCAAAATGGATATAACACACTTAAATTCCCTAGATAGGATAATCATAAATAATTAAATTTGTTTTCTAGCTTCTTCACGGGAATCGAAGTATGTCTAGGCTGTCAGTGCGGCTTTTTTTTGTTGCCCTTTCATGCAGACGAGCATACGGCCCACCTGATGGTGAGTGGTTACCGTCGTCCATGGACTTCAGCAATGCCAGGGGCAGAGCCAAGACGCAGCCTACCGAAAAAAAAATTACACTGTAAATTATCTTTAGATTCAGATCAACCGATAAGTAATTTATGAAATAAATATTTTGCATTCGACCTGTGATTATAGGGGGTGGCAATCCTTTAAACGTAAATCCTACCGCTAAATTTATTTATTTTACTGGCCACTTATTTTTTACTGAACAATTTTTTTTTATTGCCCCTGTAGGCAGCTGGTGTACGGCCCACCTGATGGTGAGTGGTTACGTTGCCCATGGACTTCTGCAATGCCAGGGGCAGAGCCAAGCCGCTGCCTACATATTGAAATGTTACCATTGTTTTGCCCGTCATCATTCGGTAAAGGGCATCTTAACCTAACGTCTGCAATTTACGCTGCGTTTTACGAAACACATTTTTTAAACATTGACCTTGAATTTCAGTTTTATTACTTACCTCAATATCCTCTGGTGTCTAAATACGATTTCTTTGATTCTTTCATAACTTTCATGATCATTAACATAATACGTGTTTGGTCTTTCACGATGTAATCTGACGGCGTTTTGGAGATCCGCTTGCAATAATCTTAGGAGTATGCTGACATTGGATGTTAAAGTAACAATCAATAGGTCGAATGGTAAGTACAGGAATAATTGGCAAGGAGTCGCTGAAAATATATGAAAGTATCTTCAACACTGACTGCGTTGGACTGATAAGGTGAAAGACCTTACTGAAACCCCACTTAACGAGAGTGTGCGCTGGGCCTCGGTTCGCAAACTGTGGAAAACATCTGTCAAGGCTTTAATAAGCAAGAATTCCAAATGACCACGACTGCTCTGCCAAGAGCAACCGATTATGATGATGATGATGATGATGATCTTCAACATTAGAAATTGAACAACAATTTGTTGAGATATTGAAAAAATTAAAAAAAACAAAGCTATGACCGATGAACTATTTTAAATAAACTACCTAAGTTCCTCAAGTATGTAATTTTCTGAAATAGTAGGTAGGAGTGGGGACAGTGGCCTAAAAAGTGCGTGGATAACACACACACACACACAGTAAAAATAGGTATTTAAGTCTAAATCTAATTTAAATCTAATTGACGACGTTGCTAACACGAACCCTAGCAAGAGCCGTGCTTCGCAGAATCTACCACCGGATCGCAAAAGCGACCCACTGAGAAGATCTGGCACGAAACTCAGTGGGCTGTGTCCATGGGTTAATTTACTCGTCGAACCCTTCGTTGCAAGCGACGGGTTCGACGAGAACGATGACCGGGTATTTCAACCGTGAAGCAGTAATTCGTTTCGGTTTGAAGGGTGGGCCAGCCGTTATAACTATACTGAGACCTTAGAATTCATATCACAAGATGGGTGGCGGCATTTACGTTATAGATGTCTATGGACTCCGGTAACCGTTTAACACCAGTTGGGCTGTCAGCTCGTCCACCCATCTATTCAATAAAAAAATAAATGAACGCATTTATAGTAGTTACATTATTCTATTAAATGGTTTTCTACTTTAGAATGACGTATATTTTAGACATTAGTTAGACGTTTAATAGAATTTAGACGAAAATTTTATTTATCCAGTGGAGATACAATATTACAATACAATACAATATCACTGTTTGCTTCAAAAGCAAACCGTAATTGGATCATAAACATAACTAAATTTATACTAATCTATAGTCTACAGTGGTTTTTACGGATGTTCCGTTATAACTACTGAACCATGCATCCGATTGACTTGAAACTTGGTATCCATGTAGAAAATACATGTACTTAATGGATAGACTAATATTTGTATGAGTGTTAGACTGCCTACACCAGTTGTGGGGGCGTTAATGATGAGAATCTTTGTGGGGGTGAGAAATAATAATGTTAATTTTAAATGCCCAGCGAAGCGGACGGGTACAACTAGTATACTTATATACTTACTTCCCACGATCTCCAATATATAAGTTAAGATATACACAACAGTAGATTTGACTTCCCACAGTCCGCAAAGTTGAAACGGTAAGATATAATCATCATTGCCGACATATAAATTGTAGCACGTTCTTAAAAACGGGTAAGTCTCAAACATAGCTAAATTGGACACGGCGAATATGAAGAACGCTGAAATATTCAACGAAATGACACCTTAGCACCAGAAAAGTGACCTTACAAGACCCAGTGCGTGCTCAATTGACAATATGACAGTTCGATAGGAGAACATAGAGGCTTATCTGCTAAATAATGGTAAATAGCAACGAAAAGTGGCTAGTGATTTGAATTTTTGAATTACTGATCTATTGTTTGGTTGCAAAGAACAAATCCATCCTATTTGATAATTTACTGGTAGTAGGACCTCTTGTGAGTCCGCACGGGTACTACCACCGCGCATTGATGTATTAAAAAACCCCCACCCCGCCTATTTCTGCAGTGAAGCAGTAATGCATTTCGGTTTGAAGGGTGGGGCAGCCGTTGTAACTATACGGAGACTAGAACTCATATTTCAAGGTGGGTGGCGGCATTTACGTTGTAGATGTCTATGGGCTCCGGTAACTTAACGCCAGGTGGGCTGTGAGCTCGTCCAACTACCCATGAAATAGATAAATAAAAAATAATTATGGGATACGGGCAATGCCGACAAATTAGTCATGTCAGCTACGATACCTATTAGAAAATGATCACAAATGGAAATGATGATCTTCACCACGACCCAGATCTAGAACGCTACTTTGAAAAAGCGGCGCGACACGATAAAGGTGTGTGAGATATGTCCAAATGCTGTAACTCCGGCAGAAATAAAATATAATCTTACAGTTAAGGAGCAATCCAATGCGCCGTAACCAAATAGTAAGAATTATGTTTTTATCTACATCATCCTCTCTCGGCCACAGCTTACCGATCTCGTCAAATATATATTTAATGTCAGAACGTTTCGCAACGCCTATCGCCATTTTAATTATATCTGCAAACAATTAAGCTGCTTTCAGACTACGCTATACTATAGTACCATATAGTATAGCAGTGTATACTTAGCCAATAATATATAGTACAGTACAGTGTGAACGTGTCCATAACAACGTATGGTGCGCGATATTGTTGTGCTATGAGCTATATACTTATTATATTATAGGGTAGTCTGAAAGCTGCGTTATGATTTAAAAAGTAATAATGTATGTGACGTTTAATTCTAGATTTTTCGGTCACTAATCTTGCTGCGTTAGCCTGATAGAGCTCTTTTCTATTTTAATGATATGAACAGGAAAATGTCACTATGATGATTGAAGGATTGAAATTAAAGAATACAATGCTAAGCTAATGAATTTAAGCGGTAGGCAGCGGCCTGGCTCTGCCTCTGGCATTGCTGAGGTCCATGGGCGACGGTAATCACTCACCATCAGGTGGGCCGTATGCTCGTCTGCCTACAAGGGCAATAAAAAAAACAAAAAAAAACTATATGCATCTCGATTCCAAATTTGCTGCTATCCCAACTTTTTTGTACTTCACCCGATATAACATATTGAGACGTAATCATTTATAACAAGAGTATCCAATTTGGATTGATTCGAGGAAGCGCCCTTTGTTTTAGATTTTTAGATTAAAGCGTATTTACGTGGAACTTCACATAATATTGTTTTATATTTATTACGTCTGCTTTCGTGATTTATTTACGTCAATTTGATCGGGAGCAATTACCTTATATATGTAGATATTATGGGACCCTGTATAAAATATTATGGATCCATGTTTACTGGATGTGTCTTTATAAGCGTTACAAAACAGCCCGTGCCATCTAAGTACTTCATTAGCCGGTTAAATATGGAATTCGATTATGAGATCATCAATATTCATTTCAAGAAAACATTATTCGTAGTTTTTAAACAGCTAATTCAAAATTTAAATTGTATTATTGACTTTCGTTATTGGCATTGCCAGGGGCTGTCTTGTAGTGCATTAGAATAGGGTTGTCACAAACAAGTTTCGCAGCAAACAACTCACCCAAAGCGAACATGACCACAATGGGAATGACCAGAGCGCCCTCCAAAAAATTTTCAGCATTAATCTTCAACATCAAGCCGAACTGTATAGCGGCGAAAGGTAAAAATAATATGTTAAATATGAGCAGTTTTATGTTTCTTTTCACGAAACAACCTCTGGACTCCTCAAAGAAGTCTAATCCAACAGTTCCCAAGAGGTTTACGTAGCGCTCATATGTATTCCTGTAGGTATAAGGCAACGAAGACATTTTTGTGTGCAGTTTACAAAAACAAGACAAGATACTTTTAAAAAACCACAAATATAAAGGAAAATTTTCAAGGAATTTTAGTCCTAATGTGTAATTTTGTGTAATTATGAAATGAAAAATGTACTCAAGAGTTGTAATTAGCAAATTGAATAAAAACTACATCTATTGGCTTAAGGGCATTCATTCGAAAAGTGAATTTAAAATGCAAATAGTATATATTTATTTTCGTTAGACTTGGATATTTTTTTTTAACTACAGTAACAAATATGATATTTGACATGCGTATGTAAATATGTACTACTTTTCAATTATTTGGATAAATCAGCATAAATTACTTTGCTTAAATGGACAATCTTCCTATATTTACGAGTGGTAAAGATGAGGTTCTATCAAAAATCAATTTTATAAATTTCGTTTGAACCTAAAAGTTTTCCTTGATGACTGCGAGAAGTACACGTCTGTATTTAACACGCTTTTGTTAGCTTGACTTGGAACTCAGATAAAAATGAAGTTCGAAGGGCAGACGTTGTACTGTAAACACTGAGGGATAGAACTCATGTCTCGAACTGGGTGGCGGCATTAACGTTGTTGATATCTATGGGGCACTTCACTGGCGATGGTGGCTTTGCATTGCCTCGTCACCTGGACTCGATATGTAATTACACGTCAGGACAAAAGGTGTTATCGTGTCGCGCCGCTTTTTCAATGTAGCGTTCTAGATCTGGGTCGTCGTGAAGATCATCATTTCACACATACTACGGTGCTGACGGCTTTACTGCAAAAACGGGATCGGATGACCCGGAGAGAGTTAATGTGTGTACGGGCCACGTGAGCGAACACCACTTGCATAGATAAAAAAATGTTCCACCAAAGTACAACTTAAAACTGTATTTATAACTTAGAACACTCACAAAACTCTTTGAAATTCTTAATTCACTTCTTCCGCTTTGCTTCAGATGATTTTTTTTTAAATACAAGGTCAAACAATTTTATCTCTCATCAACCGAATGATCATGGTTCTATACACTTCGTATATACGAGTGTTACTGTGTTACTTATAATATTTTGTACTCAAGTTTAACAATATTTGCTATGTGTATGTGCATTACTATAATTCTCATGTTGTATTTGTTATTTTAGTTATATGTTATTTGTTCTACACACACTTATCACTTTTTATTATTATTCTCATTATCCTCTCGCAGGTCTGCTGGAAGAGATTTCTTAAAGAAATAAGCAGTGCCTTTGTACATAATTTTCCTATTACTCTGTACTATGTATTTTTTTTCTGTGTGTACATAAATGAATAAATAAAATAAAATAAATAAAAAATCCGTTCGCTGTTTCGCTTCGAGCAGTTCCGATTACTAACTGACTGCGTGCCGTCTCTGCAACGCTTTTATAGTCGATACGATATCTCTAGAATTATCGAGAACATTCCTCACAAGTCGAGTGTTTTCGATGTGTTTTTCCGCTATCTGAATTTAGATGGCGGTGTACTTCTCGAGCGTTCTACATGTTGCTAGATCCTTTGATATTCGTTTCGGCTATTCAGCGATAGATGGCGTTACTCTTACCGACGTAACAATATGCAAATTCTGTATCCTCTTGTTACAAAGAATCAACCTAGTAGAGGCGTCTCAACTTACAAATCGAAGCTGACGATTGCGTCGCGGTAGGCTCAGGTAGCAAGGGCTTACAATACACAGGTGCGACTCAAAACTCATCAAATAAAACACTACCATCGATTGCATGTATCATTTTATTTGCATCTTATGACGATACATTCTTGTAACCGAACTAGGTAGGTATCGATGCACGATTGTTGAAATTTCGTTAAGCACACAAAAAAAAAATAATGCACAAATCACAAGTCTGTGGACGGATTGTGAGTTTCTACATTATTATTTTTTTAATCTATTCATATATACTGCTGTTCCTATAGACAATAGGACAAATAAAAAAAATATATATATATATATATATAACAACTTTTTTTTGATACATTCCTTCATTTTTTATCAAAGGTTTTAATTACTTTGATGCTGTCAAAAAGGTTCCGACCGAATAAGGCCGCGAGCAAGGTTTTTAATTGCGATCCTAACAAACAACTAGTCAGACATTATCAACATTCAACAATCGTGATCTCTCTAATAAAGAACATTAAATAAGTACACTGATTTACCTTAAACATATATTTTTTTAATATATTAAGAACTCATTCTAATAAAGTTAAAGGTAGGTAGGTACATATGACGTTGCCAGATCAAAAAAAAGCTCACGATCTAAAAGATAGCAACTTTACATAACTATTGGAATCATACATCGAAAGCAAAAAATAACACACAGTCAGGTAGAAGATGACGGTACAGGGTGTAAGAAAGAGAAGATTGTAAGCTGTATTTAAAGGATATGTATGTGTGTTGGTAAATCCTTCCAGTAGAACCATAAAAAATCACAATCGACGAATGCTTTTTTTTAATGCACGCGATGAAATTGAAACGGTCATATTTACTGGTGGTAGGACCTATTGTGAGTCCGTGCGGGTGGGTACCACCACCCTGCCTATTTCTGCCGTGAAGCAGTAATGCGTTTCGGTTTGAAGGATGGGGCAGCCGTTGTAACTATACTTGAGACCTTAGAACTTATATCTCAACGTGGGTGGCGCATTTACGTTGTACATGTCTATGGGCTCCAGTAACCACTTAACACCAGGGCTGTGAGCTCGTCCACCCATTTAAGCAATAAAAAAAAATTACAAATATTCAATGACCTCGCCAGGTCAGTACACCTGACTTTGCTTTATAATGTGGGAACCCAAGATAATATGCACTTAAAATTAAAATCGTATATTGCATAAAATAATTCTGTGCATTATTTTTCTGTCACGTTTTAAGCGAATCATAATTTTACCCGATGTGAGTTTGTTAAGAACAAATTGACAGTCAAAGTTAGAGTAGACCTAACAACTATCATCGCCGGTGCAAGGTGCAAAGGAGTTCGTGATACTTGATGAACATTTTGAATCTTAATAAGCTAAAATGACCGAGTAAATTTTAGCTTTTATTAAAGTTTTAAATTGTTGAATAAGTTCGAAGGCATTTTCTGTTGATCTTAATTATAGAAAAAAATCAGTCTAAAATATAAAGGCAACTTGAGAATATTTGAGAGGACTGTATCAATGGATCCGTGATAAATTAATAATAACTTTATTTTATGTACATAAGACATATTTTTTTTAACACAATTATTGATAAATATGTTTACTATAATTTATTATGATTATTAACCAAGCTTTTTACCACCACATTTGGACTTTACTTCACAAATTTGTCACTATGTTATGCGGCTTACTCGAACACTTCAAAACAAAATATATATACACATAATATATACATTTTAAATCCTCTATATTTTCCAATAGTAAACACATTTACATCAACAACAAATGATTTTTTTAAACACCACAATAATAAATCTATTCAAAGTTTTGTAAAACCAATATCTTTCCTATGTAAACAAGAATATTTTAAATATATCAATTTAAATTCGTAAACCACAACGCGCCATTATTAGCTTTTTTTATATTATTTTGTTATAAAACGAACATTACAGATGTTTATATAAATTGCATCTCGACTTATAAAGTATCTAGACAACGAATATATACAGCTAATCTGTGATAAACACTTTATAGAATAATACACAATTTACTTTTTATTTATGTATGTGTTCAACAGTGTGACAGATCAATTATTATTGTACAACTATTGTAACTATACTGAGATCTTAGAACTTATATCTCAAGGTGGGTGGCGCATTTACGTTGTAGATGTCTATGGGCTCCAGTAACCACTTAACACCAGGTGGGCTGTGAGCTCGGCCACCCATCTAAGTAATAAAAAAAAAAACCTATGTTTTAAAGTTAAATGAAATTATTATTTTTCAAATCGAACATACTGAGTATAGTTACAACGGCTTCCCCACCCTTCAAACCGAAACGCATTACTGCTTCACGGCGGAAACAGGCAGGGCGGTGGTACCTACCCGTGCGGACTCACAAGAGGTCCTACCACCAGTAAAACCAGTAAAGGTTTAACTTGTTGTGTATTATTCTAATGAGTCTTCCTTCATAATTCAATAAGTTTTCATAAATATATTCTTAATAAACATACATATTTGGTGTAATTGTAGACTTAGAATATTTGGGTGCGAATTTTATTTTAATTTTACTTATAAAAAAAAAGAAAGAAATAAAAATGTAATAACAAAATAGAAATATTACTCTACTCATATCTTACATAATTATAAATTTAATATATTAAAGAGATAAACGTACATAATTTATGTTTGTTTTTGTTTTTTTTACATTTATATTTACAATTGCTTGTTTTATTTACAGTTACCGAAACTTACATACATATAAAGTAATTACTTAAGAATAAATAGACACTAGACAGGATAATATATGACCTTCGCTTGTATCGTGACGAAAATCAAAGTTATCTAAATCGATTGGCTGACGACCTACTGAATCGTAAGTGTATATGGTGACGCTGTCTCATGAATAATCTTCGACCAATTTTTTTTTCTGTTATCACTGAAGGTAAACGTGCGTACGGCCCACTTGTCCATAGTGGCTCCCATTCGTCATTGGCATGTGTTGATAAGGACGCAGCCCGAAATGAGCTCGGAGTTCAGTCGAGATGATGCAATATGGTGCCGAAGGTCACGGCAAGGCCATCTCGAACAATGACGCCGGTCTTTTTTTTTTTGATCGAGGGATTACTGGTGATCCGGAGACCTTTCCAGTTTCACTAGGACAGGTGGGCGAGCAAGGGCTCAGCCAGGAGGGGTGGGATTTGCTAACAACTACTCGAGCGCCTCCAACGAGCCCGGTCTGTGTAGCTGTCAGTGCCAACAGAAATGAACAATCTAATTGGATCATTCTCGTTATTGTACCCTCGTTTATTCTTTAATGATAAGGATCCAAGGTATTGTGAGCCCGTGCTCCAAAATTATCATTTCCGCCACGGATCAGTCGCGTCTTCCACTTTTATTTGGATCAGTCGTCCTAGTCTTAGTCCTAGTGGGACACTAAGGAGTCGTAAACGTCTCACGTTTCGAGATGACACGCGAGCCGGTTCATCCCTTGACGCATTAAAAATAACCATAAAACCTAATTAACTAAATTATTTTCATTAAGGTCACACTCGGAACTATTTAAAAATACATAAAAAAATTGGCAAGACCATTTCATAACATTTTAGCTACGTTTATATTTAGAAGAGAGAAAGAGACGAAAACAATACGTCCACACAGTTACACATCCAGTTTTATTAACCTAAAGATTTGGACCATAATCGGCTGTTACGGTTGTTGTTTAAAGATTAACCAAATTCAACTGTAAGTGCGGTTTTATGTCATCATCATCATAGTCGGTTACTTGGCAGAGCTGTCAGAGTGGTCATGTGGAATCCTTGCTTATTAAAGACTTGACAGCTTTTTATTTTTATTTTTTTTATTGCCCTTGTAGGCAGACGAGCTTACGGCCCACCTTATGATGAGTGGTTACCGTCGCTCATGGACTTCAGCAATGCCAGGGCAGACCCAAGCCGCTGCCTACCGAAAGCTTCTCCAGAGTTTGTGAACTGAGGCTTGGCATACCCACTCCTTATGTGGGGTTTTGGTAAGGATTTTCATCTCATCAGTCCAGGGTTTCGTCCACGAGATCTTTTAACATTGACCCTACCCTGAACAACAAGTGCCACGATAGGCTCTGCTGACTGTCGCGATAAGTGTCCAAAATATCTAAGAATCCTTGACTGTATTGTTGACGATAACCTTTCAGAGATATTAAGTTCCTTTAGGATCGGGGCGTCGGTGCGATGCTCAATCCAATTTTTCATTTATTTTTAAATTATTACATATACACAAAGATATGAATGCTGATGTACATATAATTATGATTGAGGACAGGGTTTCAATTACACATACAACAGAATGGTCAATCAAACACATAATATTTACAATATCGTTAACATAGAAAATCAATCTTTACATCAATGGCTGTTTGGTTGAATTTTACTTTTCAGACACACACATCAGACTGTTTATTCATAAGCCAAATTTATTTTCTTAATAAGATAGATATGAGAAGTCAGAATACACATTTTAAAATCATTTTTCACTAGTTTTTTTTCGGTTGTTTTGATTTCTCTTATAAAACATAATACTATTATACATATATAAGATCAAAAGTGAACATCCTGTGAAACTACATATGTCCAATTCATTTATTGAAGGCGTTGAACATTTTTGTGACTCAAAACATTCCAAAATCTATAATAGCATGAATTTGTGACAAATGTTTTTTATATTTATTTACTTCGAAGTTAAACGTTATCCCCGTCACAAAATTCAGTCCTATCTATTTCACACTGTACCCTCAAGGTTTTAAAGTTCAAATTCCAATGCTACGTCAATTATTTAGTCCGATTAAAGAAGTTTACATTTCAATCGTACCTCGAGGCCTCGACAATTATTCGATTTTCAACTTTACGCGCACGCGTTTAAAGTTCACACTTCATCGCCGAGGTCGTGGACGCAGTTCTCGGCTATCGGGACGTACTTGTCGTCGATTTGCACGAGGAGGATCGTTTTGTCGACGTGCGACCTCAGCTTCGGGTCTCTGTGGTTCGGCGTCCACTTGTGCACCACCTGCAAGTGAAGATGTTTACTTGGAACTCGCCTTAGACTCACGAACAATAATTTAAGCTCACGGGCACTCACTCTACCCTCGAGACTTGAACATGTTAATCAAATAGTTTAAGTAATGTGTGTGTACGGTGTGCTTAGTACGAGTTTTTTAACGTTCTCGATAGCGTAAAAGTTAACTCAAATTTGTATGGAGTTGGAACGTTTGCCTACGTTTGCCGCTAGAGTGCTGTTTCAACTGCATACAAATTTGAGTTAACTGGTCTGGATAGGTACTGCAGTTCTCGGTAATTCTACAGTAAACCAGTAACGCTGTCCCGTTTCAAGATATCACAAGTAGGAGTGTCATGTAGCGGCACGCACCAGTCCGTCCATGCCGGGCGCGGGCACCCAGGCGCCCCAGGCGCTGCGCCCCCCGCGCAGGCGCTGCAGGTCGCAGGGCCAGTGCACGTCGATGCGGCGGCCCAGGTTGATGCAGTCGTACACGCCCAGCGGCTCCACGATCAGCACCTTGCTGCCCACGCTCACCGAGGAGCGCCCAGAGCTCCTGCAACAAACACACGCCGCGCTCACAAACTGCTCACGAACGAAATACTAATGTACTTTCGTATCATCATCATCATCATCACTTTCATATAACGAAATACGAAATAATAATATAAGAATACTAACGAAATACTATAATAATATAATAAGTCGTCGTGGTCTAAAAGATAAGACGTCCGGTGCGTTCGTGTCGAGCGATGCACCGGTGTTCGAATCCCGCAGGCGGGTACCAATTTTTCTAATAAAATACGTACCCAACAAATGTTCACGATTGACTTCCACGGTGAAGGAATAACATCGTGTAATAAAAATCAAACCCGACAAATTATAATTTGTGTAATTACTGGTGGTAGGACCTCTTGTGAGCCCGCACGGGTAGGTACCCTCACCCCGCCTATTTCTACCGTGAAGCAGTAATGCGTTTCGGTTTGAAGGGTGGGGCGTTGTAACCATTGATGTATTAAAAAATCCAAGATACACACTCAGCGTCTCAAAAACGTCCGCATAAAATTCAAATTCAAATAGTCTCGCGTCGTTCGCGTCTCCGTGCGCTCGTTAAAAACGCTGAAGTGTTCGTTGAGAAATTGTAAAAATATTACGTCAAGAACGTTAAACAAGGGATGGGATATCGTATATTCGGTAGCCGGTGGGGCAGCCGTTGTAATTATATTGAGGCCTTAGAACTCATGTCTCGAGGTGGGTGGCGACAGTTAGATGTCTAAGGCTCTGGTAACCACGGGTGGGCTGTAAGCTTGTCTACCGTACTACACAATAAAAATATGTAATGAAAAAAAGGGTGCGTGTACTTATGTACGCGCGTAAGAAATTATACTTTATTTTTATTAAATTTCTTTTTTTTTTTAATTTTAATCAATTTGAAAAAAAATCGATTAAACAACATCCTCAAACGCGCATATTGGACATCCCTTTTCTTGACATCGTATAAATTCGGTAATTTTCGGTACGGTTCGGAAAGTTCACCTGCGGCTATATTCAGACTCGCCAAGTTACGTCGGTCGTATTGTAATGAGCGATTTAGTGGGCAACTTCATTCTGTTAATTTTGTGTCACGGTGCGCGCGCGTCGTAAAATTTTACTCTCATAAATTTTTCATAACGCGCCTAAAGAAATATAACTTCAAAAAGTCTTTATATTTGAACATACCTGCCAGATTCGGAACGTTTGATTTTAGTCTTTATCTCCTTGTTTTTCGGTTCCTTTTTGCTGTCCTTCTTGAGCGCGGCGTCCCGGTCGGCGGGCGGCGCGTCGGGGCGCTCCGTGTAGCGGCCGGCGAGCCCGCGGTGGCTCTCCCGCTCGTGGCGGATCTCCCTGGTTATCTTCGAGAGGTCCTTCGATGTGCCTTCGTTTATGAAAAATCTGTGAAATGCAATTGCAGTACTTTCATTCATCGCGCCCCCCGGGGTGTCGCTCGCGTTCAATTTTTTTTTTATTGTTTAAGTGCGTGGACGAGCTCACAGCCTACCTGGTGTTAAGTGGTTACTGGAGCCCATAGACATCCACAGCGTAAATGCGCCACCCACCTTGAGATACAAGTTCTAAGGTCTCAAATACAGTTACAACGGCTGCCCCACCCTTCAAACCGAAACGCGTTACTGCTTCGCGGCAGAAATAGGCAGGATGGTGGTACCCACCCGCGCGGACTCTCAGGAGGTCCTACCACCAGTGAAGGTACATGTGGTGTCAAATAAAGAGTTATATTATTATTATTCCCCGAATAGTCTAATTAGTATCGTCCGCACCTGGCATTCCTGTTGGCTATGATCTTGCAGTCGGGCAGCGAGAGGGACAGGTCCAGGCCGGCCGCCACGTCCTCCAGGGAGGACTCGTCCTCGCCGCACGTGACCTGTCACACCGTCACATCGTCACACTGTCACACCGTCACACCGTCACGTCTGCGGACCGGGCGGGCGGCTGGCGGGGGTACCTCCAGCTGCACTCAGTTCTCGAGGAAGCTCTGGAGGCATCCCCGCCAGCCGCCTCCCGTGCCGTACTACGGGTACAGCCAGTCTCGTGGAACTTAACACGATACATTCTGTATGCCCTTACCCAGGTAAAAACGGTTATCTCTGCAAGAGATCTTTTTTTTCCTACCTAAGCTGATAGCCTTGAGAGGCTATTTTAGCTTCACCCTAACGTCTAGGTAAGCTCACGGGGCTCAACCGGAGTGTTGCTAACACTGCCCTAGTTATAGCAGTGCTTCGCAGAGTCTACCACCGGATCGGAAACGCGACCCACTGAGAAGATCCGGCGAGAAACTCAGTGGGCTGTGTCTGTAGGTTAATTTACTCGTCGAGCCCTTCGTAAGTGGATCGAGAGGATCCGAAATGACGTGTTGTTTTTTACATTGAATGAAGGTGTTATGTGCCTATAAACCATATTAGACCTTAAAACACCAGGTTTAAAGGCTATTTTTAGAAATAGCATGTGATGAAGGAGTTTTATACGAAGATAAAGCAAAAGTAACAAAAGTCGTTGCCCGTTTTCTCAAAATTAACAAAATGTATCATATCCCCTTCATCATCCACTCATGTCTTCAATTATTATATTTAAATTTTCATGCACCAGAGGCTTTAAAAGGTAATAAGTATATCGCAGATACGGTGCTATAAAGTCACTTGTACAATTTTTGTTAACACTGAACTGAGTATGAGAAAATATATTTTTTAATAGTTATTAGTGAGACGACAGAGATGTTTGCTTTTACTGATGGAGTTTAAAGTTGTAGTTTAAATATTATTTCATTTCTATAGTCTAGCAGAACTATATAAGAATGTTATTATTGTTACGCCGGTAAGAGTAACGCCATCTATCGCCGAATAGTCGAACGAATATCGAAGGATCGAACGGGGGTTGATTGCTTCCCGCTTCCGTAGGTTTAACCCGCGATTCCCTACAAGTGACCCCTGGGTGGTGCAAAACGGGAGCCGAATACATAATCGGTGGTAGGACTTGTCCGACTGGCTGGCGACCACCCTCCAACTAGAGTCCGCCGCCAAATAGCCTAGCTGTGTTCCGGCGTGTGGGTTGGAGAGCCAGTGTTATTCCTTCCCTTTCCTCTTCCTTGTTGGGGGTGAATCTTGGCGATACCTGGAACATGCGGAGCAGACGTGCGTGTGAGCTCGCGGGACGTGATTGTTTGACGGGGGTATAGGGAGACCCAGTGAAACGGTGTTCGCCGCCGCCCGCCGGTCAGTTGGGGACCTGAACCCGGGTGTCACTACTAAACTCCGCCCCGGGAAGCTGTCCCGCCAACCGGTGTAAAATCCTGTCGTGCGGTCGTCGTGCCGGAGTCGGAGACCGGAGTGGATCCCGGCGATCGCACGCAGGGTGGACTGGGGGCCCTTCCATGCCCTGCGTC